CTAAATATCTTATCATGCTAAAACATTTATCATATGGGTAAGATAAGAATTCAAGAAGTGAATTTCATGATGAAAACAGAGAGATAAAAATTCAGATCATACAAAGTGTTTCGTCTTCAAAATTGGAGAGAAAAGCACAAGCAGACCCCAAAATGACGATGGAGAAACTACTGCAAATTGGAAAAACGTTAAAGTTATCAAAAACCGAAGCAGAAGGCATTGAAAGCACGAATCAAATTTTTCATAAATTTAAGCTGTTTAAACGGAAAAGCTGTGGAATATTCAACGAAAAGCAAGTGCAGATTTTGCGCTCGTGAACATCGCCCAGGGAAGAATAACTGCACAGCCTTTGGGAAGAAATGTCGACAGTTCTCAAAGTGGAATCACTTCCAAATATTTTGCTCCGAGAATCGAAGAAGAACAGAGACGCAACAAATCGATTTTCAAATCATCGTACTGAATTGATAAAACGAAGCGGACAAATGAAACTTAACCAAACCAGACTTCGTCAATAGAATATCATGAAAGAAGCTTCATCAGAATCAAGTATGGAGGATGAATATGCATTTTCTACATCAACAGGTCAACTAGAATTGCCGAAATTTAAATTTGAAATTAACCGTATACTCATGAAATACTCATGGCAGATATGGGCTCCAGCGTAAACCTTTTGGATCAAGAAAATTTTAATAGACTGAAGTAAAAACCAGAATTGCTGGAAACGACCGAAAAAACTTTCCTTACGGGTCAAAAAATTACCACTTATGGCAAAAAACATAGTTGAATCGAATAAAATGTACGGCTTAGAGACATTTTTTGTCGTCAATGGGTATACGGGTTGTCTAGTAATTTGGAAAACTTGGGCTCAAAAATTGGGCTTGGTTCAAATAGCTACATCGATAGAAGATAATATAAAGTCAAATAACCAACTCGTTGAAAAAATAGGAAAAGTAACAAAGTAAGTAAAGTGGAAGAGTTAGTTGACAAACCTCAAGAAGTCTTTCAAGGACTGGGAAAACTGAAAGGGTTTCAAGTCCATCTACATGTGAATAAAGATATACAACCTGTCGCACAACCTCACCGACGAGTACCACTCCATGTTAGAAAAGACTTGGAGAAACAACTAAAACACGGTGGGTGATAGAAAACAGATGAGCCAACACCTTGGGTCTCACCGTTCGTGGGGTAGCAAAAAAGAAGGAGAGGTACGAGTTTGCATAGATATGCGACAAGTTAATAAAGCTGTAAAGAGAGAACAGCATATCACACCGACAATTGGTGAAATAATAAGTGATTTAAATGGTGCTACATTATTTATCAAGTGCACTAAAATCAAGGTTACTAAACCGTTACGTCGAAATCTTAAGAAAGATGCTCCATTTGCGTTGACAAAAAAGCAAAAAGACGCAGTTCAAACCTTACGCAAATTATTAACAGCTGAACCAGAAAGTCCATATTTTGACTCTAATAGTGAAGTGATTTAGACGTTTTCACAGATGCCAAGAATCTGTGAAGAGGGTGGTGTTGATGGCGGTGGGATGGTAGTATAAGTGTGGTCTTCGACGGTTCACATTCTGCTTGTGGTAAAATCATAATCTTTTCGGCAAGGGATACTATGGTTGGGCTGGCCAATTTGGCACAACCATTTTCCCAAGCCCCAGTCTTGAATGATATTTTGGAGGGTCCTAAGAATGCAACTAAATGGGGGGACAGGATTAGGCTTAGGTTTTTGGGTTGAGGTTAGGGTTAGGTTAAAATTCCCAAATTTTAATAGGAACAGAGTGATATTAATGACTGTGAAGGGTATCCATATGGTTGATAACTGTCACTGCAGTGGTATTGCCTTTATATGCTCATGGGCTTCTACAGCTGACCATCTCTCCCCCAGAGGACCTATCACCCATAACCGCACCACAACCTCTTGATAATGCGTCAGATGGCAGAAGAACATCAATAAGTGAAGACAGATTCTGTTGTAGCCAATCCAATCAATTGGGCCACAATCCAGATCTTAATTTTTCGTGTGTTTGCTAAAAGATATTTAACTAATTTAAAAATATGGCTATTTTATCCCTAGTCAATTTTCGAGTCTTTATTACACAGTCAACAATAAAGCCTAAAACTACAATTTGTTGTTTGGGAACCAAGACTGATCTGTCTGGATGAGACTGAAGGCCATCATTATCAAAAAACTGTAAGGTGTTCATTACATTAGAAACACATCCATCGTATGTATTATCCTGTTGGTAGAAATCGTCAAGATACTCACTTATGATATAGTTTTGCAGGCAAATATGTGCTAATATTGGCTTTATTAATTTAGTAAACTTTCTCGAGCATATAGATAACCATTTGGAAAAACTGTATGTTGGCAAAGTTTTCCATGGTAAACAAAACGTAGATATTTTCAAAATCTTGGATGAATTGGAATACTGTAATATGCATCTTTCGAGTCAATTGTTGTCATCCAGCAGTTAGGTGTAATAAATTTTGAATAGTATCGACAGATTCCATTTTGAGATTCTATTTTGAGGTTAAAATTCTCTTTCGGTCTTCCGGTCCTTTAATAAAGGATGAACAGATTCCATTTGTAGCAATTTAGTTTTTTCAGATTTAAAATCAATCGTACCCCGCCATCCTTTAATGGAACTGTGAAATACTGGAGAATCAAATTCTCCTGTTTCATGACCACATTCAATTATCATCTCCTTTTGTAGGAGGTTTCTGATCTCATTATCAAGGAGGTCTCTGTGAGCTTTAACAATCGAATTTGGTGGATGTGGTTGAAGTCAGTTACTTTTTTCAAAATAAGACTTTAAACAATTCGTTATAAATTATGAGAACTGTATTACCTGTAAGGCCACCATGCTTAATTTTCGATGAACTTCTTCCTGGGTTGGGATGGATTGATTTATTTCAAACTGCTTGATTTATTAATGCTGTGTTGTAATGGCGAGATTGGGGGGAGGGGATATTGGTTCCTCCCTCGTTGTGATAAAAAGTGTGTACCCGAATAATGAGCAGAGTATTGACCATTGGACGATCTATTCCTATATTTTGATGTCACCTTTCCGACAACTGTATTTGTTGTTTTAAATCATGCAAGACTTTAGGCAGATCATTGCCAAAGAGAAATTTTTTATCTTTATTATCTTGACCAATGAGTGCAATAGAGTACATAAGCGAGGACATAGCCCTCTTATAATATGGGCTGATTTATTTTTCCGACTGTTAATTCATCTGCACTTACAGTTACAGCAGTAGAAACCCTTATAAGTAAATCTTTTAGAGTCAATAATTTTGATAGAGTTGAAACTACAGTTTCCATATTGTTCTCAAGAAGACCTCTGTACATGCACGGTAAAATAAACGTAAAAAAATGAAGAGTGTTTGTGAACCAGGTGAGGAGCGGATTCCTCGACACTGAGGCCTTTTTTCCGTACACCAATGCGCCGAAAGAAATTAGAACTAAGTAAAGCGTGGGGCCCCTAACACGCGGGGTCTTTGTGCGAACGCCCCTTCTGCCATATGGTTAATCCGGCCCTGCTTTCATCTTTTCAATGTCAAACTCATTGGCAAATTTATTATCTACAAGCCGAGCAACCTCATTTGTAAAGGTAGCCCATGATGATCAGAGGAGTAAAGAGATGCACTAATTTCTCATACTGTTCTCATCATATTTTCCTTCGTCTAACAAACCGTAAATTTCATTGTCATTGTCGTAGCCCTGAATACTTAGGGCATCGTCATTATCATATGCAGAATTATTGTCTTCGTATGAGACAATCAATGTAGCTGCTTTCTGTGAAGCTAAATTAGTTGCTTTCTCTGATGCTAAGTAGGTAGCTTTTTTTGAAGCTTTAGATGCACCAGCATGGTCATCGTGTACATCCGTCTTTGAACGTTCAGCAAGAGTTGCGGAATTAATGCTGATACATTCAACCGTCTGTTTTCGATTACGGTTACGTCTATTGTCCACTTCAAGACGAGGTTATAACATATTCTATATTTTCATACTTTTTTGCAAGTTAATTGATATTTTCATAAGCGTTGTTGATTCAGAATCAGAAAGATTCTGCTTTTGCGGTTTGTCAATCAAGAGGGCAAAATCATGTCGACTCTTGTAGTCAGACTCGTCTGACATAATGATAAACCTAAAAGTAATAGATATTGAATCGGTAAACAAAAAATCTTTAATTAGCTGAATCCTTGTTCGTTTTTACCTAACCACTTACCACTAAACCAAGAAAAAAGCTCAAAAATTTAACATTTTCTCTTTATTTTCCTCCATCATTATTAAATTGAATAATTCAAGCAAACAGTGCTCAAAATTCGCAAAAGATCTGTCTCAACCGACCATCTTTCTTTGAAATTAAACTGTCTTAGAATTTATGGAAAATTACCACAACAAACAAAAATGCATTTTATTGAACACATATTTTTAACGTGTTTTGTTGTCTATTTTTAACAACGGAAGTCATATGCCATGCTACATTTTACATTCCACAACTTTGGGGAAAGGGGGGAGAGGGTGTAGGAAAGTAAAAAAAGACGCATTTCAACAAAAACTAGCTACTAGTTTCAAAACAAGCAAGTTTCTGGAAGACAGTACAAAACTCATACTGTGTAATATTTTTCATTGTTTGTTTAATGCAGCTTTTCACTAATGATACAGCACAAGTATTTAGTGTGATTAATCTGAATTCCATTTATCATCGGTATAACTTGCTCGGTTTTTCGAATCCAAGACTCGAATCATAATTTTTATGATTTTCTCTCAGCGCCTAAGAGCTAGCTTTGTTCCGTTGTCGCTATTTAACATTATAAGATTGCCATTTTTTTACAATAAATGTTAGTAGATTTTTAATTTTTATTATATGACCGCTGCAGGCGTTACAGGTGTTTTTCGATAAAATGCTTTTTTCTATGTCGCCCGAAACTTTTTGAGTGGCATTAGTTTATGGAAATCTAATTTTGTTTATTATCTTTATCGTTTACAGTTCCACCTACAATTGTAAGTCATCCATCTGCAACAATATTACTCAAAGAGGGTGAAAACCTCAAACTAGGATGCAAAGCAACGGGAAAACCTACTCCTAAAGTTGTTTGGTATAAAGAAAATAATGAGCTATCACAACGCCATGGTACTGCTGAGCACGAACGATCTGATGTGACCAAATTGGATGCAGGCAGATACAGATGTGTGGCAACGAACAATTCAACGACACAAGATTATTATGAAGTGGATGTCATTGTAAACTGTGAGTATATGTAGAATACTAAAGCTACGTGCTAACGCTCTCACATGTTGACTAAACATGAGCTCAATATTATCTAGCGTTGTTGAGCAATGTGCGTAACTGCACTTAAATACAATACAAATATGCATGAAATAGAGTATTTATGTAAAGCGTAACGTTTTGTATTTACTCATTAAGACATCACATAATTATTGAGTTATTTTCACTCCTCAATGACACGCCCAAAAAGAATTTAGCATGAAGATTACTGGATACTTTGGCAGTGCTTGGCCATGAAAATTCAGGTATTTCTAGATTGAGACGGGAACTAATTAGGTCTGCCATAAAATGGACGAAATAAAACAAAATGTAACTTCCTTTTATGAATTCTTAACAAGTTTACAAAATCAAGTGTGGACACTATTTCCGAATGTTTGAATAAATGATCAAGAATGTATATATATGAGTGAGAAAAATTGAATGTTTAGAAGCCTCTTAACATCATGTGTATTCAAGTTCCAGTCTCAATTTTACAAAAAACAATAACTAAGAGAATGGCTTACATAGATAATATTATAAAATATTCACTCATATCAATATTGAAAATGCAGAAATATCTGTAGTCGTTTTAGCAGCTTTATATATGCATGCATGTATATAAGGGAGAAAATCAGCAAGAAAGTCGACTTTCCCAGTAGCCCAGATCAATACTAATCATAAATACACGATTGGAGGCAGATCGACTTTCTGGTATTGCAGTATTTTGCGGATGTTAACGATGCAAAAGATAACATACAACGCATTTACACCTGCGTGATGCCATATGGCAACTTTCTCTTTTGTGCAAGCAAATCAGCTAGTCGTTTATGTGCAATTGCGATTATTTTCTCCATACCACCCGATGTTAAAATGGCAATTGGTGTAAGAACTGCATATTCAACCTGTCTAACTATGGCAACAATTTGTTAGTCGATTTAATAAGAATGTCGAGGAAAGGAATTTGGTTGTCTTATTCTGTCTAAAAAAAAATTTAAAGTTAGGGTGGCGTGAGTTGAGATAATCAAAGAAAAGTTTGGCATCAGTTTTATTTTCAAACCTGCAGAAACTATCATCAACATAGCGTTGGTAGAAAAGTGGTTTATTTCCGTTATAATCCTTAATCCAATTTTTCTCATGGCAGCCCATAAAAAGATTAGCTAAAACAGGAGCAAGTGGCGATCCCATTGCAATACCGTCAATTTGGTCATATAATAAATCATAAGAAAGAAAATGAGTTTTCGATGTGGCTATGATAAATAATTCTGTGAGATCTTTGTTGTTAATGGAGAAATTAGTGTGTGTAGTGTATTGATTGAGTATCAACACACTGTATCATATTTCTATATATATATATATATATATATATATATATATATATATATATATATATATATAGAAATAGTGTATAACAATGTGCCCTCCCGGCTATCACCGTAGTAAAATGGTGACTCCTGCACTTGGGACACAGGACGTACGGTACGATATATATATAAAAGATAAACGTTTCTCCGGATTTTTAAATGATTTTTATTGAGCTTTCGACTCGTTGCTTCGAGCCTTCATCAGAATGAGGATATTTATTTACACGTGCTTTTAGCATAGGGATAGATATTCTCAGAAGAACAAGAAAATGGGAATTATTCGCACGTAAAGAGTCATCAACATTGGAGCAGCTTCACTTCCTACACAAATGCAAACAACAACGAATCCTACCGAACAGCATCAACTATCGACCACCATTAAACAACTCACGCTCAACATTATTAACACCAACCATATTAACAACACACCAAAACCCATGGCAACGCATTTCACCCCATCCAATCACATTAATCCACCCACTAATCCAATTAGACGCTCTAAACGTCTCCAAGCTAAAAGCACGTGTAAATAAATATCCTCATTCTGATGAAGGCTCGAAGTAACGAGTCGAAAGCTCAATAAAAATCATTTAAAAATCCGGAGAAATGTTTATCTTTTATATATTCGATGCCTGGATTACAAAAATTTTCAAACTTATATATATATATATATCACACAATGTAATTAAGAAAAGCATTCACACTGAAGATGACTTACGTGCAGTTAAGTCGAAAATGCTTATAATTAAAAACATAAAATTGAAAAATTTTGTTGTTTATCTAAAAATGGTTATTAAGTAAATGGTTTGAGCCCGGGAGTATCGTTACATGTTTGTAGATGTATTTCGTCCAGGTTAGTATAGTCCTGACAAGGTCAGTTTACAAAAGAAAATGCTCCGACTGCCACGCCTCTTACATGGGGGAAACTGGCAGGTACTTAAACATAAGACTTACTTAACACAAACGAGTTACAAAGAAATAAGACAAAACTAATCACATTGCCGAATAACACCGACTCACAAAGCACAACATTGACTGGGACTCGGTAAAATGCATTACTTACAGCACTGACTATATAGAACGGATTACATTAAAAAGTTGGAATACCAACTTGGAACAAACCCCCCTAAACAGATCACAGTAATTACCGGCAACTTACAAAAGACTTATTTAAAATACAAACAAACGATCAACTAAAAACATTACACTTCACACTAATCCACAATGACAATACACAATTTACAGACAATTAATGCACATTTCCTGTACACACAATACAATGACGTAAGAACCAGATAACAAATACAGTCTGACGTTTACTCCTCACTTGACTCTGAAGATGACAACCGCTAAGATTGTAAAAACGTCAGTCAACAACAACAAAAAAGTCCTTCTCAGGACTATACTACCTGGACGATCTACATCTACAAACATGTTTATTAAACATCGTGCTCATAAGATCATATGGTAATAACAATAACAATAATAATAATAATAATTTTAATCATAATGATAATCATAATCATAATCATAATCGTAATCATAATCGTAATCATAATCATAATCATAATCATAATTATAATCATAATCATAATCATAATTATAATAATAATGATAATAGTAATAATAGTAATAATGATAATAATAATAAAGTAAATGGTTTGAACCTATTTACAAACATGTAATAATGGTAATCATAATAATCATAAGTATGTAATAATGATTTTGCGACGTTCTCTTAATCACACGTGTAATTTGAACAAATACTCTTTTTTATACATGTTTGTGTTTGATGGCTTTTTTAAAAGCACTGTGTGGGCTGTAATATTTATAATAAGAATTCACTTCACGCCTGGTATGTTCTTCGTCATTATTCTGAAAGTTTTTTGTTAGATAAGCCCGTAGAAACCAAAATAAAAACCGATGCTCCAAAGAATACTTTGTGTAAGGGAACTACACTCAAAATAATTTGTGAGGCACAATCAAAACCTCCGCCGAAATTTAAATTGTACCACAAGTATGGCAATGAAACCAAGGAAATTAAAAAAAATGGGGCAACTCACGAAGGCGTATTTCTCATCAAGGACATTCAACCCAAACAGAGAGGCAGTTATTTATGCATACCATCAAATGATGTTGGACAGGGGGAGAAAGCCGAACTCAAGGTCTTTGTTAAATGTAAGTTATGGTTAGTTAAGCTAAACACATTTCACGCACGTCTGCAATGAAACTTTATGAAGCGAACATTCTTTTTTTTATGATTATGTAATAAGGATAAAGTTTCCATAGAAGTCAATTCATGTATGGCTCAAGTAAAAATAGTGCTCATTTGCTAAAACATGTGATTATTATGCTGGTAGCTGCTTCAATTTTTCATAATGATTAATACTCAATCACAGATTTCAAAGCAAAAGTGGCCACCTTCAGTAATTAACCCTTTAGGTGGCGATTATTTTTCCTAGTTTTTCGAAGTCTTTTCCAATTTCGTTTGGTGATTCTTGCAGGTCTTCTACACTGCAACATGTAAGGTTATGATAATAATTAAAAATTTAGATGAGGTTTAGCATGATATCAAGTATTATTCCGACCAAAGCAAAGCTAAGTAATTTTTGAGAAGCCTGAATAATTCTTGATATTATGCGCAGACGAATTTCTCTAGTTGTTTTATTTTACAAATCTAAATGCAAAAACCTTTAAACAACTTATTTTTACTGTCGTATAGGAAATGAAATTGATAATTACAGCTTAGAATACTTATCATATTATGTAAATTTATTGCAATGAGATTATAAATTAAGAGATTCTATCGAGTAAACATAGCTGTCGATAAACACCAAGGCGGGAACATTAATATACGACAGTGACGACTAAGAAAGAACGAAATGACATGGCTACATCATCCAGAAATGCCCAAACAACAGAGAAAAGCAACAGCTGCAAAGCTCAAGAAATCCAACAAGCATTCAGTTATATATATAAACATGGGAGTTCTTCGAAGCGGTCTGCCGCCTTTCGCACCTTTCGACCCTCATAAAGATTGATCAACAGTGGGACAACGATGGCACAAATGGGTGAAAAGATTCAACAATCTTTTTATCAACCTTCAAAAATTTGATTTAAAAGTAAGAAGAGGTTTACTTCTCGCATATGTCGGAAAAGAAACGAATGACATCTGTGACACTCTACTTGAAACGGGAGATAAGTATGAAACAGCTATGGCCAAATTAAAAAAATATTTCGAACCATCAAATAACACGGACATGGCTATTTTCGAGTTTCGCGAAATGAAGCAAGAATGCGGAGAACTCATCAACGAAATCTATCGTCGGTTAAAGGAAGAAGCAGCATCATGCGAATTTAGCAATGAAGATCGCGAAATCAAGACGCAAATTATACACAAAACAACAGACTCGCGACTACGAAGAAAAGCATTACGAGAAACTATGACACTCAGAGAGCTTTTTACATATGTAAACACACTGGAGAAAACAGACATTGAATCAAAGAAAATCGTAGGCATTCAAGAATATTTAACATCGTCAAATCATACATACATACCGTACGCAAACAAAATCCACGATGGTATTCAAACACTAGAGGTTGAACTAGAAGACAATATAAGGGTTTACAAAATCAAAATCCATCATTATCTAAGAAGTGCATAAATTGTGCAGGAAAATTTCCACACGAAGGGGGGAAAACAAAGTGTTCTGCGTATGGAAAATCATGTCACTACTGAGAGAAAATTGGTCATTTTGCTAAATATTGTTTGAAACAAGGGAAAGAAAAACGCAATGAAATCGTGGTAAAGCAAAGAGAAGTTCGAAAATTGGACATTGCGATAGTTTCATCTTCTGAAGAATCTGACGATGCATTTATTTATACCTCGACAAGTTCCCACAGACAACCGAAGGTCACAATTCAAGTTAAACAAGTTGCACTTTCGTTCATCATTTGTTCAGGTTCGTCTGTCAATGTAATAAATAATGATGTCTTCAAACAATTGCAAAACGTCAATTCTACAGTCACATTGTCATCCTCTAAACTCAAAGTACTCCCATACGGATCAAGCATACAATCGAAATAAAAAGAAAGTTTGACGTTTTGGTTCAATACAAACACTGTGAAACCTTTGCCTACATTTTAAGTCACAAAGTCAGTCCCCAATGTCTTTTAAGCTATAGAATCTCAGCAGAACTTGAAATTTTGAATGTCGAAGCCAACAACCTTACAGAAAAAGATAATACAAATTTAGAGATTGACAAACTTATTTGGAAGCATTGACCATTGTTCAACAGAGTTGATCATTTGAAGAATTACGAAGTAAAGTTTAAAGTGAATCATAATATTACTTCTGTTGCACAACCAGCATGTTGTATACCTTACAGTATTAAATTAATTGTTAATAAAGGCTAGAAGAGATGCGGAAGCGAGGAGAAAAGGTTAAAGGAGCTATTCCATGGCTGTCACCCTTAGCCGTTATCGCAAAGAAATGCAGAGATATTCGCCTTGTTGTAGATATGAGAAAAGCAAACACTGCCTTAAAACGAAGAAGAATTCAAATTCGAACGGTAAATTCAATTCTACAGAAGATACAAGGTGCTTCCATTTTTACCGAGTTAGATCTAGCACAAGAATACCTGCAACTTTCTTCAGCACCAGAGTCACCATTCATTACTGCATTTACAACACCTGAAGACAGTCCCCACCTATTTACACGACTTTTCATGGTTGCTTGACCTTTTTGGGAATATTTCCATGAAAAGATTCATGAGCATATAAGAGATGTTCCTAACCACAAAAACATTTCTGAAAACATATGGCTTTGGTCAAAAGATATGTTCACTCACCTTCGCCTTCTTGGAAAGCTGCTTACAACCTTACAGTCTAATGGGTTGACTCTGAAATTTTCAAAATGTAATTTTGCAGAGCCTGAAATAAATGTTCTTGGTCATTTTGTCTCTGGCAATGGATTTCGCCCGATCAGAATAAGACTGAACCAATCTGCAAAGCACTGCATCCTAAAAAATGTTCCGAAGTTCGTTCTTTTCTAGGCTATACAATTACTGTTCACGATACATTCCAGCAATCAGCAGTGCACCAACATTAGCTCACTACGACCTACATACTCCAGCAAGACTAATTGTTGATGCCTCGCCTTGGGCAGAGTATAGGACTATATTGTGGGGTCATTTCGCTGTGCAACTGGGTGCTGTGTATTTAATTAGTTTTCTGGCTGCCGTTTGCCATATCGTCAGTCCTTTTGGCCACACAATGCAATTTACCGGCTGCCAATATGGTAATCATATGCGTAATAAAATATACGTGGCACGAAAAAATTCAAAGAAGTGGCCCTACTTTATGTTCTTTATACTGTGTCTTGGGTAAATTGCACTATACTTCTACAGCAGCAATCAGACACAAATTACCGTTTTTTAGCGTTTGGAAGCCGATCCCTAACCAGAACCGAAATCAAGTATGGTCATATTGAAAAGGAGGCTTTGGCCATTGTTTTTGGTTGCGAGCATTTTCATATGTACTTGTACGGTAGAAAATTCCAATTAGAAACAGATCATAAACCTTTGGAATATATATTTCTCCAAAGATAAATGAACCACCCCGTGCTCGTATCGAAAGATGGAAACTCCGATTACAAGAATACGATTTTGAACTCATTTACCGTCCAGGAGTTCAAAATTTAGCTTTTTCTCTTTCAAGACTAACACTGTTACAACACATATCACATCGATAAAATTGTGCTGACTGATATGTCAACTTATTGGCTGAACATATGTCGCCCAACGCAATTAACATCGAAGAAATTCGTTCAGCATTTGAAAATGACATAGAGATGAAACTAATTCGTAAGTATATAGTTAAGAACACCCACTATAAACTATCAGATACATTTAGAAACATACGAAAATGAACTTTATATAACCAACATTATTTCCCCCAGGAATTACCAAATGTAAACATCGCTTAAAATCTAAAATATGGTTGCCTGGCATGGTTAAAGAAATAGTAGAATTTGTTGAAGGTTGTCATGCATGTCAATTACTGGCTAACCAAATCCATCTACACCAATTTGCTGAACACCATTACTAAATGGCCCTTGGGAATGCCTCGCACTCGACGTTTGAGGTCCATTCCCCACAAGAGACTATGCATTAGTTCTCAACGATTATTATTCAAGATGGGTAAAAGTGGAAATCGTTAACACCATAACATCATCTAGAATCCTTAAATGGCTAGATTTAGTATTTTCAACTCACGTTTATGCTATGACTTTAAAGACTGATAACGCTAAATATTTCATATCGAAAGTGTTCAAATCTATTCTTCAGATGTTGGGAATTAAACCGTGTATACCCTAACAGAATACTGGCTGCAAGCAAATAGATTAGTAGAGAGATGTAATAAAGTACTCCTAAAATTTATATTTCGTCTTTTTCCATCTAACACTCTCCTGACTGACAGTGTAGACGTTTTTGTGTTTATTTTTGCATTTTTATTCTCAAAACAGTTTGCTAAATGGTAGGAAATCATGCTTAAGATTCCCCACTAACTCTTTTTGAATTATAGCAGCCGCCTAATTGAAATGTATATATAAATAGAACGCTGCCTTTCCCTGTAATACTTAAGCCGCTTTTCCCAATTCTTTGCACACATTGGAGCACGAGGCAAAACAAATTCCATTTACTAAATCATCGAAATCAACACCTGACACTGTGACTAAGCAGTCAAGAATAAGGAGCTAGAAGTTCTCATTTTTAATTTGAACTATGATACAAACTTTCTCCTTTTACATAGGTCCTTAACACTATAGGGCAATTAGAACAGCTACTTCTTGATTTATTTATGTCAACTTTTTGTACTATATAGTAAAGGAACTGATAAACAAAGACTGACTTCATATTATTGTAATTAAATCCATATCACCATGGCAGGAGATGTTTCTTCTTTCAAATTTTTGTTAACTGGAATTAGATCTTCCAAATAGGCTGGCTAAATGTATTAAAACATGTTCATAGTTTATATTATGTGAATTGATTTCTTGCATTCTGGATTTTGTTTCTTTTTAGTTTAGCGCACAAATCAATGTGTTGACAAAGCCATATCAACACCATTTACAGAATTGCACAATGTGACAATTCATATGATTTTTGTTTGCAATGATTTATTTATTGACGCACATTAAGATTTGACATTTGACAATGTTGATTAATTTTCAAAAGTAATATTCAAAAGTTAAATAACGATTATGTTTAATAGTTCCACATACCACTGAGGACCCTTATCCTTCATCAGCACAAGCATATCGCTTTAGCTAAAGATAATGTCAAGCCAGTTGTTGATTTTTTAAACTTTTAAGTTGATTCTATTAGATTTCATTTGGATTTAGTAGGGGATAATAATGCACAGCCAATCCTAAAACGGATATTCCTGACTAGTGGAAATTTGCACATTTTCTGCTAGCTCTTTTTCTAATACATCTACAGAATTTGTATGCAAAGATAAGCTTGTATGAGGATTTTATTCATTGCTATAAGCTCTACACAGCACAGCTTGCTGATAGCATTGTAAATTATGTCTCGTAACTTACATTAATTCTTTCTTGCGTGAAGAAAATGACGTCACACTGTTCATTTTAGCGCTCGAAAAGAATTTAATAACGGACGTCAACTTTCAAACGTTAAAACGCCTTTTATTTTTGAGATTGATCTAAAAATTGCCAAAATGACTAAAGGTCAGGTATTCGTCACTTTTGTTAAAAATAATTAATGCAAGTAAAAATTTGATTTTAGTGATCTTTTAAGTTGGAAAGGTCATAGGTGATGCGTTGATTCAAGTGGTGTAGCCAGACCGCAAGTTTGGTAGTGCCATGCAAATATTTAAGTGTTCAGACTTTGTAAAGAGATTAATAATGCTAATGTTAAAAACGTATACACAGCATGACCAAATTTGACTTTTCGAGATCTTTTAAAAACACGATAAAACCCATTTCTGCTGGTGCTGATGATTATTTCATGTCTTTGCAGTTTCACCAAATATATCTAATCTCTCAGCAACAAGCCACGTCGTAAAAATAAATGACACATTGAACCTGGTATGTGAAGCTGAAGGGAATCCTGCTCCTCATATTAAATGGGTACATGAAAATAGAATGATTTACAAGCGTCAAGTACATCAGGCTCGCATTATTTTTCATCATGTCCAAGCAAAACACCAAGGTTTATATACCTGCACCGCTTCAAATGGTATTTTACCAGATGCAATCAAGAGTGTTTTCATCGATGTTTTATGTAAGTTAATACTTGTACTTTTTTTGTTTTCTTCCATTAAGATTATTTTGCAAGATATATTGTTTGGAATTTTGAAGTTTTGCATTTTCTTCTTACCACTCACATGTAATAAAAACTGATCGAAAGCTACACTAAACCAGAAACAGAGGTTAAGAGCAGCATCGCAATAGTGTGCGATGCATTACATGTCTATCGTTTTTATAATACTTTCATGTATACATGTTTCTAAATGTAGATCGTCCAGGTTGGTATAGTCCTGAGAAGGACTGTTTTTGTTGTTGTTGACTGACGTCTCAACAACCTTAGCGGAAGTCATCTTCAGAGTCAAATGAACAGTAAACGTCAGGTTAGCCGTATTTTTTATCAGGGGCCGGTTGTATAAAGCTCTTAACTACTTTTTAACTACACTTTTTGCAGTTAAAAAGTAGTTAAATTTAACCACGCGGTTAAGTCGGTTGTATAAAAAAGTAGTTAGCGCTAAATGCAGTTAAAAGGTAGTTAAAGTTAACTATGCTATGGAGCATAGTTAACTTTTCAGAACACAGTTAAATATGGCGGCTTAGCTTCTTAAAGACAATTATGGGGGAGATGTTGTTGATCAACAAGGTTTTACCTTGAGTTTTTAAACACATATGTATCTTCCATGGCAAAGGCTTTTAGAATAAGAGCTTTATGGACAATGTACTACATTCGTCAGTGCTGTAAACATCCCAAGTTTTGCTGACGAAAAACAGCCAACAATTAATCCACGTAACAAATCCTTTTTTACACAAGAGCAATTGCATTTTGTATTGTCCGGTAGCTCTTTGCAACTCATAAGCGAGACTCTCAATTGAGATAGAGCCACTTCTTTAAGATTAGTGCACATAACTCGCTGACATTGTCTTACAAATACGTACAATTCATTCAATGACAAGAAAAACAAAGAATGTTATTCGAGCAATGAATCCTATAGCCTTGGATGTATCAAATGTTCAAATTGCGGGTTTTTCCCTATGCATTTTGCTTGATTGAATATCATATGCATCATATAAACTCTTTGCTCTATGGAAAATAAGCTAGATTATGTTAAAACAAATAGGTACTACAGTATAAATGTTGTTCTAAGTATACCAATGATAATACATATAGATACATGACCTTTACAACAGTTTTTATTCATGACTACTCTTTTGTGTATCAGCTGCATGAGATACAATGATGTTAGTTTCTTAAATACATAAAACATTTCATCAGCATGCATGGTGAAGGTCCATGTTGCTAGATATATATACATTATCCATTGCATATTGTTTATTATACAAGAAGAAAATATACATGACAGTCAATTAGTGGGTTTTATTGATATTTCATCAAGTATTTCCTATGTAAAAATTTTTATTTGTACATTTTTAAATATGTACATACAATCTTGCCTGCCAATAAAGATCTAGCTACTGTTTGATGACTTAAAAAGTAGAAAAAAATGAATAAAACTCCCAAGCTTTAGAAAAAAGAAGAAAATATAAAATGTCACAAGCAGAGAAGACAGTTGCTGGATTATATGGCTACTAACTATGATGACTCAAAGAAATGTTTTCTAATAATAAAAAAGTTCATCACTGTCATCTTTTACAAATATGTGTGACTTATGTCTGTACAAACACATTTCTTTCAAGCATTTTACTCAGCTGTTATAAAGAGAAACGAAACGACCTTTTCCTTTGTTACTCTCAATCTCTCAGTTTTAAATTCTGTAAAAGCAAGGCCATTTTAATATTTATATCCTTGCACATAGAACACAATATGAATCAATTTGAGAAGACTTCATTGTTTCGTTTGCCCAAGTCCATTATATACAATTGGTACATGAAATAAAGCAGTCCTTGCCGAGACTCATATCATTCATCAACATCGTACTGTATTACACAAAAGATGCGGGTCGATTTTCTTGAGAAAAGTATAAAATATATGCTACAATTTAATCCGGTTACCATGTCACCGTGAATAGTTTGTTAAATTTTCTTTTCGCATCATCAACATCCATAAAAACGGCAATAGTTTGCCATATTTTAGGATTTTTACATAAGCCAAGAGATTTTTCTTGATTTTGAAGTCATTTTATATTTCACTTGCCCGCCATTACAAAGCATAAATTGATTAAACTTTATGTCGTTTAACGTAAACAACACTCCACGCAATTTCCACGCAAGTTAACTACGCAGTTACTTAACTATCCGACAAACTACGTTTTGTGCAACGCAGTTAAGTCGAGCAGTTAAGTTACTATAGTTAAGGAGTTAACTACGGTAGTTAGCGCTAACTATAATTAAAGTTAACTACGTTTTTATAAAACCGGCCCCAGGTTATTACGTCATTGTATTCCTGTACACACAATAGTGTAGTGTAGACGTAAGAAATATTTTCCGAGTTTAAAATGTTTTGGTGGCAGTTAAGAAAATTTCAGCCACATATTAGCGAAGCAATGCCGAACTTTATGAGTATCAAGTCTTGCACACGCTTATTCTAAGTGTAAGATTAACTCTAAAGAATTTCTTCTTACGAAAAAGCACATGATCACCCTTTCTAAATTAAATCAAAATTTGACTCTAAAGATGACTACCGCTAAGGTTGAAAGATGAACTCCGAAGATGATTACCGCTACCATTTTGACTCTGAAGATGACTACCGCTAAGGTTGTCGAAACGTCAGTCAACAACAATAAAAACAGCCCTTCTCAGGACTATACCAATCTGGACGATCTACATTGACAAACATGTAACGATACTCACGTGTTCAAACCATTTACTTTATTACTTTCATGTATGCTGTGTATTTTGCAGTATTTTGTCTCTGAAAATTGAATTTCTTTATAGACAAACCCATTTCTGAAACGCTGAGGCAAACAATTGTCGCTCAAATAGGTGATGCAATGGTAATTAGGTGCAATGTCAGTGCAAATCCGCCACCAAAGTTTTTGTGGAAAAAAGAAGGCAAAATCCTCCCAGGCACACAAACGACAAGAACTGTTAAAATACACAAATTATCGGATTTTGGAAAATACGTATGTGTTGCTAATAACTCCATTGGTTCCACTATTCACGAAATAAATGTACTTGAAGTAGGTAAGCCTGAGATATCAATATTGACTGATAAATATCCACACAATTTTACCTAACGTAGACATCTTATAGTTTTCTTATGCATGTAGGTAAAATGGATTTAATAGTAAAGCTCTTACATATTCTTAAAAAAAGGGCATATAGATTCATTTAGCAATGATGGACCACGACTTGTTCTGTGACCATATACAATGAAGAAATTTGAAATCATTTAGTTCTTCATAAGGATTTGTTTTACAATCAATATTAGCGTAAAAACTTTCGACGCTAGGAAAGACATTTTAAGTGCTCTCTTTATTGCTGACAATTCAATACACCCGATAAAAATAGTTTTCTGTACCGATTTTTCTTCATCTTTATGGAACTTTAGTTTAAAGAACGTGGATTTACAAGGACTAATATAACGCTTGCAGATATTTTATTTTATCACAATCACTGCATTACATGCAGACGACATTGATGACTTTCACACTCACATCAATAAACAGAAGAGCCACATACAATCTACCAAAGATGTTGAATAAATGGAACGTTTCCTTTTTTCGACTGTTTGGTAAAACATGACAATCAAAAACTACGAAGCACAGTTTATCGAAAACCAACACACACTGACGGACTACTAGACCAATCATCATACAACCCTACATCACACAAAGCCACTACAATCATAACAGTAACACGACGTGCACAAATCATATGTGATTAACCGGACGCTCTACACAACGAAAACAACTATCTCAAACGTGTTTTTGACAAAAACAAATATAACTCTGACTTCATCAAACGCAACACTTACAAGCACAATGAACCGAAAGAAACTAACAACTCAACGACAACAGGAACGATACCTTATATCAAAGGTACGTCTGAGACTATCGCGCGTATCTTACGACCATCCAACTTACGTGTTGCACATAAACCAATCACAACGCGACGACAAGTACCAAAGAACATTAAGGACAAAAAACCCAACGAACGACAAGGCGCAGCTTAAAAAATAAACTGCTCCGACTGCCACGCTTCCTATATCGAGGAGACTGGCCCGGAACTTAAACATAAGACTTACTGAACACAATCGAGCTACAAAGAGACAAATCACATTGCCGAACATCACCGATTGACAAAACACAACATTGACTGGGACTCGGCAAATGTATTACTTACAGTACTGACTATAGACAATGGCTTACATAAGAAAGTTGGTATACCAACTTAGAACAAAACACTTGAGAAAAACGACGATTTTTTTGAAAGCAAACATGTTTCGACATTATCAGAATGCCATCTTCAGTGCAGAATGGTTAGTGTTAAGTAATATGATACGTAATATGATATGAATAAATTAATTACAATGAATAGGGTTATGATTTAGTTAGGAAATTATAAAATATTTACAAAAAAGGAAAAGAAAAATAAGTATTAAGAACTTATAACGTAAATATAGTGTTGTAGTGGTGAACTTGGATATTTAAATCGGGATTAGTTTTATTGATGTGTAGAGCTTCCTTGATTTTGAGTGAGAAAGTGGATTGATCAGTGTCGATGATTTTAAAACAGGAAGGTGAGAATTTGTTTTTACATGAAAGAGAGGCTTGAAGATGTTTGTAGATAGTGGAGTTTTTGTCTGTGTGAGTATGTTCCTTTATCCTGGTAGATAATTGGCGAGAAGTTTCACCAATATAGCGGGAATTACATCCCGCACATGAAAATCGATAAACTACCATAGATTTGGAAAGTTCGGGAAGTGGGTCTTTAAACGAAAATAATAATTTTATTTCAAAAGGTGTGAAAATAAGTTTAACATCAATGTCAGTGCAGTAGCGTTTAATGATTTGTGTGAGTTTGCGTTGTGTGTGTCGTGAGTAATCACCTATGTAAGGTAGTTTGAAATAACGTTTATTGTCAGGTTGTTGTATATCGTTAGTGTTAGTTGTGGAGTTAGATGAGTCAGTGCTTTTCTTGTTGTCCAAATAGTGTTGTATAGTGTTGTTGATGAAATGAAAAGGAAAAGAATTACGTTGGAGAGTGAATATTAGTTTCTTTAAATCACGTTGAATGCCGATGTCTGTGTTGTTAAGTTTCCGTGCTCTGTCGGTCAGTGTTCGTATCAGTTCAATTTTGTAATTTAATGGTGTGAAACTAAAAAAGTTAGTCAGTAGTCCTGTATATGTTGGTTTGTGGTACGTAGAGGTTATACAGTTTTCAAGGGATTTAGTTAGTAAGATGTCAAGAAAGGGTAACTGATTGTCTTGTTCGGTTTCGTATGTAAAGTTTATGCTTTGATGTTGTTTGTTGATGTATTCGTAAAAGAGTAATGCTTCGTCTTTGTTATGAAAAATGCAAAAAATGTCGTCAACGTATCTGCGGTAAAATAAAGGTTTGTTGTTGCTGTAGTTATTTAACCAGTTTCGTTCGTGAAAACTCATGAAAATGTTGGCTAGAATGGGTGCCAAGGGGGAGCCCATACTTACCCCGTCAATTTGGTCGTAGTACTTACCGTTAAATAAAAAATGAGTCTCGGCCGTAGCGATGTTAAACAATAGTTTTAGTTCTGTTCTGTTCATTTTGAATGTAAGGGCTGTTGGTAAAAATTAAATCAATAGCAATTTCTATGGTTTCGGTCAGTGGTATGTTGGTAAAAAGGCTTTCAACGACAAAAGAAATAAAGAATTTGTCATGTGGAGCGTTAATGTTAAAAGATAAAAAATCATCGACAAAACTAAAAGAATCTTTAGTAGAATGGTCATTGGGTATTAGGGGTTGGAGTAAAGAGCTGAGGTATTTGGCTAATTTGTAGTTATATGAATTGATTGAAGAATTTATAGGCCTGATAGGAGGTATGTCATTGATATTGTTTAATTTATGAAGTTTAGGTAAACCATATAATCGAGCTGGCTGTGAACCTCTAGGGTACATTTCTTTGAAATGATTTTTCGTTAATAGAGTTCTTTTCTTTAAGTTACGTAGCAGTCGTTGTAACTTTGCTTCACGGGAAATTGTAGGATCATGATCGAGTGGTTTGAACTTAGATAAATTGTTAATTATAGTGAGGCAAGAGTTAATGTATACCTGACGATCCATAATGACTACACCATTGCCTTTGTCAGGTTTAAGAACAATGATTTTGTCATTATTACGAATGTTCCTTAGAATTTTATGTTTCTTCAGGTCTTTAGGAGTTGGATGGTAGGAAGTTACGTACGTGTGTGCCAAGTGACCAAGTTCCGTTTTTAGTATTGAATAGTCCTCTTGTTTGATAAGTTTATTTCTTAATGAATAGTTGATTCGTTCGAATGTTGGCAGAATGTCGGAGGAGTGGATTTTTGGTGGCTTGATGCTGAAGTTGAGACCGTTTATTAGAGCGTTAAGTTCATCTTCACTTAGCTTCACAGATGATAGGTTGGTGACAGTGTCTTTATGAGTGAATGGTATAGCCTTGTTTTTGGTCAAATTATTTAGTTTCTTACGGTGTGTCGAAAATATTTTGTTTAGTTGTTTGTCGACATTCTTTTTGAGGGCTTTATTCAAGATATGCCAGTCAATTGGGTTAAGAAAGCTTTTGATTTCTTCTGTTTTGTTCGTCAGGTCCCTATCCAGTGTCCGTAGTTCTTTAGATCTCTTCGTTATCGTAGTTCGTAGTAAACGCTTTCAAATGTGGTATGTATCTCGATTGTCAACATTAGGCAGTGGAAAACACAGGAACTTTGGAAAAACTCCAAGTGAATTGCAATCTTTAAGGAAGGCGACATCAAGTTCAGCCTTGCGTTTCTTAGTTGTAAGCTTTTCATAACTTCGAAAATCCGACAAGGAAACCTTTCATGATAATTTTGTGCTAAGTCGTAGATAATATTACCATAATTTCTAATTAGCAGCAATTTTAAAAAAACACTTGAGAAAAACGACGATTTTTTTTGAAAGCAAACATGTTTCGACATTATCAGAATGCCATCTTCAGTGCAGAATGGTTAGTGTTAAGTAATATGATACGTTATCTACCAGGATAAAGGAACATACTCACACAGACAAAAACTCCACTATCTACAAACATCTTCAAGCCTCTCTTTCATGTAAAAACAAATTCTCACCTTCCTGTTTTAAAATCATCGACACTGATCAATCCACTTTCTCACTCAAAATCAAGGAAGCTCTACACATCAATAAAACTAATCCCGATTTAAATATCCAAGTTCACCACTACAACACTATATTTACGTCATAAGTTCTTAATACTTATTTTTCTTTTCCTTTTTTGTAAATATTTTATAATTTCCTAACTAAATCATAATCCTATTCATTGTAATTAATTTATTCATATCATATTACGTATCATATTACTTAACACTAACCATTCTGCACTGAAGATGGCATTCTGATAATGTCGAAACATGTTTGCTTTCAAAAAAATCGTCGTTTTTCTCAAGTGTTTTTTAAAATTGCTGCTAATTAGAAATTAGAACAAAACCCCCTTTACAGATCACAACAATTACCTGGAACCTTACAAACGAATCATTCACAATATAAACAAACAAGCAACTAACTTATTACTTTAGACTAATCTACGATAACAATACACAATTAGCCACTTCAAAATCTGCACGAGCTGAGCATGAATTAGACTGTGCTCGCGTTATACTGCTAAGATTTTATCCGTTTGAAAGTAATTTGCGATAGTCTTAAAATGGAATTGTTGTGTTCCTCTGTGTACGAATAATTTACCCAATTGTTATGTGCATTCTATACCCTCTGATGAAGGAGTAAGAAAAAATACGCTAGAGTTATTAAAAATTACAGCCTTTGTGTTAGTTCAAGCACAAAGATTTGTGGCGAACATTTTATTAGTGGTGAAAGGCTTGCCAGGCCCAAACTCTCACAATATTCCCTTTGGACGAAGAAAATGCTGCTCGACGAGTAATTAAGAAGCACCCAATTGTTCCTTCCAGCTCAAGAAAAAGAAAAGTGGCAGCCAAAGCTATTGAACTTGAAGCTGAAGTTAGAAAAGCTAA